AGAAGGAGAAGGAGAAGGAGAAGGAGAAGGAGAAGAAGAAGAAGAAGAAGAAGAAGAAGAAGAAGAAGAAGAAGAAGAACAACAACAACAACAACAACAACAACAACAACAACAACAACAACAACAACAACAACAACAAAATGTCTCAGTTTTAGTAAGCGTTTTACGGGACTTGCATCAAAATTAGGTCATATAAATGCCGAAGAATAGAAGTGTTACAAGAGAGTAACAAACATAAAAAAGAAGGAGAAGTAAGGATGACAGTTTTTTTTATAGGAATGCAGGAGCAAACCACACCAGAGCACCCGCCAACCACCCACAGGTCTCATAGGTCAACAGCAACAACAACATCAAGAAAAGAGGGCCACTCACATGATGTGTACTCTTGTAACTGCTGGAACTCAGAGGGGCTGAGTTTCTGCCACTGTAACAGCGACATGTTGGCTCGCTACCCTGGCAGGTAGAGGCCTCGCCAACACCCTCCTCCGAGATCCTGCTTCCTCCTCCTCCTCCTCCTCCTCCTCACCTACACCAGCCACCAGACGACCAGGCCCACGTCGCCCAAGATGCCATACTCTCAAAGAACTGTCCGCTTGTACACACTTACACTTTCACACTAACGCACGTACAATTCGTATATATTTTTTCTTCCCTTCAGGTGCAGAGATTTCTCTCAGAATCGTTCCCTCTCCCACACCACTCACGACTGCTGGTTGCACTGTATCGACGACACAACCTACTCATAGATCCAATTTTAGATTCAAATAAGCTCCCTGTTTTACGACTTCCCTTTCCAACACAATTCAGGATTTTCAGAAGTGAGAGCCTGAGATTCTTGAGGATAATAATTTATGATAACTGAGATGAAATGGAACAGACCCTTGTTATGTGTAGACTTTTCTGTGAGAGAACAATTCAACATCTCAGTCCTTGTCAACACTTCAGATCCTTTAGAACAACTGAGATCATCTTGGAATAGTTGAGATTCATACAGGTGAGTACCAAGACTGCCCAACACACAACTCTGCTTTTATTCCAACAAAGCTGGTGTAGACTCACACAAAGGTTATTCAGACGAATTTTGAGTAACTCTATATTTTTAAAAGCACCAAGCTCGGCAGACTTATCCTGTATCTGGCTGATCTGCGCCACAGTCCTACGTCTCTCTTCTCAGTCTTCGTATCTCCCATCCAGGTCAGCTGTCACGTCACGGTGGCCAGTAGAATGTGGCCTGGCAACAACGACCTCAGCAGCGAGCACAGGGGACAGGACAACACTGTCATCAAGGATGACGGCACGCGTCGGGTGTGGTCAGTCTGAGATGGCACAAACTCTCCCAGTGCATCAGTTGGCGTGGCAGGGTTCAAAGGTCACAGAGGTCATAGAGGTCGCCAGAGACCCCCTCCATATGGCATCCCATCCAACACCAGTGGTCAGTCTGTAAGTACACAGAAATGAGAGACAGTCATGTTTTTGCTGTTGTGGCTGTTAATGTTTTCTGCTCCAAACAACGCAATCTAAAGCACCAGTCCACTAAACCATCTACCTGACTGACCATCTGGACAGTATGACATCCATTGGTAAGGGTTACAGTTATAGTTAAGGTTTGGGTTTGGATTCTGGTCAGCAATAGGGTTACGGTTTAGGTTAGGGTCACGTTGTTATTGGTTGTAAAAATTAAAAGTGGCACCCATCGAGTAGAATAATTGTTAGAATGGTCCGGTGTTACAGTATTAAGTAGAACAGAAACATCATGGTAGACTGTCAAGTGTACCAACACAAAATCTAAAAATCATTTAGGAGGCAGGCTGCTTCGACACTACTCGTCAGGGTGAAGCTGTGCTGAAAGGGAGGCAACTTACCAGACAAGAGATAAAAAGTTTTTGTTTTTTTTTAGCCTCCCATCTGGAGAATCAAAGTGTGTGTGTGTGTGTGTGTGTGTGTGTGTGTGTGTG